TGGTGTACATAATCATGTCCATCTGATGTGTTGATGGTGTACATAGTCATGTCCATCTCATGTGTTGATGGTGTACATACTGATGTCCATCTCATGTGTTGATGGTGTACGTAGTGATGTCCATCTGATGTGTTGATGGTGTACATAGTGATGTCCATCTCATGTGTTGATGGTGTACATACTGATGTCCGTCTCATGTGTTGATTGTGTACAGTCATGTCCATCTCATGTGTTGATGGTGTACATAGTGATGTCTGACCCATGTGTTGATGGTGTACATAGTCATGTCCATCTCATGTGTCGATGGTGTACATAGTGATGTCCATTTCATGTGTTGATGGTGTACATAGTGATGTCTGTCTCATGTGTGGATGGTGTACATAGTGATGTCCATTTCATGTGTTGATGGTGTACATAGTCATGTCCATCTCATGTGTTGATGGTGTACATAGTGATGTCCGTCTCATGTGTTGATGGTGTACATAGTGATGTCCATCTCATGTGTTGATGGTGTACATACTGATGTCCGTCTCGTGTTGATGGTGTACATAGTCATGTCCATTTCATGTGTTGATGGTGTACATAGTGTACCATTGTGAGGCAATGTAATCATGCTCATGCCAACAACTATGTTTACAGGTTATTATTTAGTTGAAATGAGACTAGAGTGAGTCTGTCAGTGTGGATTAATGCTACGTAGAACAATGTTCCACTTATACCATGGCATGTCAGCATCAGGATGAAAGCATGTGGTGACGCATGTCCCAGATGCTGCTGAAACCCCTGAGAACAAACCCAGATAGGTCATCAGGTGAAGCAGGGATTCGAACCTCCAATCATAGGGTTCTGGCACACCCAAGGGAGGCTACTCTTAATTCATCTGAACTATGGTATAGTAAGATGACCGGTATCTAAAACAGATATTTATAAAAACCAACACGGAGGACAACGTATACATGTACAATAAAAAACAATGAAACATATTTTACAAGTTTATTTCATAAAAATAATAGTTCGTCGAAGTAAAACGAAGAATACTATTTCATAATTTCCAAAGCACTATTCACATTGTGGAGGAAAAAGTATATATTACAAACTGTGTACAGTATATATTACAAGCAAGCAAACATTGTACATATATCAAACACACACTTCACAAGCTCTCTCATATTAACATAATTGAAAATTCTGCAAAAATGCTAAAAACTTTCCATGTACATAAAAATGAGTTTTCAAATTCAAAACATATAAAATAGCTCCTTAATATATACATTTTCTCAAACTTTTCTGCCAGTATCTGTGTAACATGGTCTAAGATGCAGAAAGCCTGGATGGATAGATCCCCAGTTCGCCATGCTCATATATGATTGGAGGCCTGCCCATATTCGGACAAGACAATCAAGTGATTCACATTGTGACCATTGATCTACATCTTTTGGATACAATTACAGTAAAGTATCCACAAAATTGCCTCTAACAACCACTGGTTACTAAGGACTTATCCCAGAATAAGACAAGAAGAAACGCCATACTTTTGGTCGTCAGTTTTAAAATCACAAAGGAGGTAATGGATTAACTGGATATGCATGTCAGTCATAAGCATTTCCTTTATTACAATAAGCTTGTGATGACATAAGAAGGCTGAGAGAAAACAGACAAACATGGGTATTGCCCTACAATGTTGGGTAAGAATCCAGGCCATCATTGCCAGTGAGTGTGGTTCATTCTTTGAGTGAGTGAGTGAGTGAGTGAGTTTGGTTTTACGCTGCTTTTAGCAATATTCCAGCAATATCATGGCGGGGGACACCAGAAATGAGCTTCACACCTTGTACCCATGTGGGGATTCGAACCCGGGTCTTCGGCGTGACGAGCGAATGCTTTAACCACTAGGCTACCCCACTGCCCCGGTTCATTCTTTGAGCAATACTGTAGGAGAATCATGGTACTTGACTTCAAGAATGAAATGTGCTTGTATCCAAGGGTATCAAACCCAGAACAGGTGCCACAAGCAAACGCTTTAACCACTAGGCTATTCCATAATGATACGCTATTCCATTAACAGGTGACGCTTGCGTGTCTCCATTACATGGAAGCTGGTACCGCTATATCTCTTGCATACAAATAACAGTCATCACAGCGTTATTTACAGACATCCGTAAAATTATAATTCATGGAAATAAATCTGTGATTCTTGTCTGGATTTTGAATATGTAAATAATTCAGAAAAATTTGATAAAAATACACTTTCTAAAATATAAAACATATAGTAAGAATGTAACAATCTAAAATGATAATATGTTAAACATTCAGCTCTGATAAAGTTGATATCATCCTCTATATCCCGATGGCTAACATTACCTACATTTATTATCGGCTCCACTCCTGTGATTCTCACAATCTCAAATTACCCGCCCTTGATTTCCATTTATCAACTTGACTAGTGATGCTTCTACCCCTAACGCACCTATCAGAATGCGAGTTACAAACCTACTTGAACTTAAGATGGAAACAATCAACAACATGGCAGCCATTCCCACTGAATAAGAAAAGATTTGCGAGAAATTCAAAATTGAAAAACTGATTGGCAGGTGTAAGAAAACGATCATAAATGTTTATGATAAAAAGGATGTCTTCATGGCCATTAAAACTGGCGATGGCTTTGTGTTTCTAGAGATCATGAGTTACCTCCCTTTCCCTCATGTCGAAATTTGATTGGGTGGTAAAATGTTAATGAAAGACAAGGGCGGGCAATACGCAAATGACAAACTACAGAAATTGACCCAGGGACTAGTGCATGTTGACCAAGAGATACCAAGAAAGAGCTGATACGAACAAGGCACTTATCTCCCTCCGTTTCATCAACTTCTCAGCTTATACAGCCGAGGAAAATAGAAACAGTAACAAATAACTAAAATAACTTTATATTCATGATCAAGTACACACACTGGACACATTTGCTAAAATTGTGCAATGTTTTATTTCGTTCAGAGCATCAATCACCTGACCCTGGTACTCTAAGATCCTAGTGTTTGTTGAGGTGGGTTTATAAAAAACAGTGGTATGTCAAATATAACATTAACTTCATTTCAAATGTATAGTTTTTCATTTCGTCAAATCATGAACTAGGTGGATGCAGGATGGTCATAATGTCTGGGCTGGTTATATTTCAACTTCCTGATATAACTTAGTGAAATTCACAACACTATTAAAGGAATGGGGGTTTGGTCAGCATAAAATATGTTGGGAGTCAGGAGGTTATGAAACTACATTATTTTCCTAGTGACTGAATGAGTGAGTTTAGTTTTACACCGCACACAGCAATATTTCAGCTATGTGGCGGCGATCTGGACCAAACAATCAAGTGATCAACAGCATGAGCATCGATCTGCACAATTGGGAACCGATGACATGTGTCAACCAAGCCAGCGACCCTGACCTTAAGTTGCCTCTTAAGACAAGCATGAGTTGCTGAAGGTTCATTCTAACTCGGACCTTCATGGGTATTCTTTATAGCATTATGCACTGAATTGTTAGTCGTAAGATTTAGGATCTATTATATCGACAAAAAAATCATTTCAAAATTTAGTTGGATAAACTATTCCTATCACCACTATGCACATATATTTTCATCTGATCAAACAATACTCTTCACTAACAAAACATCCCCAACATAATAGCTATCACAGACATGGAAAATCAATCAATACTTAGAACTCTATTGTCGAATGAATTTACCTGAATAAGACCTTGCACTACACAAGAAAGAAAACAGGTGTTGCCTTACTGCAGTAACACAGCTCTTCCAGTGATTATTATACATCCGTGGTCCGTTACATAAATTATAGCTTCTCAAATTGCAGGCACAGTGTATAATAAATTACATTATAAAACTAACACAAACTACATACTACTAAAAGATGCAATCTGTTTGAGATTGTCTTTTAAAGACACTCAACTTTGTTGATTCAAATGTACAATTGAAGCTGTAAATAGGATATATATTATCAGTGATTATCTACAAAGTATAGTATTTACAATTTTTTTAAATTAATCACAAGCTTTGTGTCATAACAACCATTTGAAGCAATAGCAAAGACAAGCGGTTCACCATCCTTCCTCAATTGAGAAACTAACAACATGACAATATTTTGACTTCATACTTCATACATTGAACTTGAGTTTGGACTGGTCTACTTTGAAGTGTTGTGGTTGTATATCACATGTCGAACATGACAAACCCATAAACATAATCAGGGGTGAGAGATTCCTGTTTTGTTATGCTGACCGATCTCAGTGTTAACTGTCATAACACCAATACTTACATATGGGGTGAGTGAGTGAGTGAGTATGGTAGTCGCATTATTCCAGCAAAATCATGGCAGAGGACACCACAAACAGGCTTCACACATTGAACCCATATGGGGAATCAAACCCGGGTCTTCGGTGTAACGAGCGAAAGCTTTAAACACTAAGCTACCCCTACGCCCCTTGTGTGAGATTTGAACCCATGATTGCAGGAGAGTTGCTCACAGATGGGAGGAAACTGCACACAGCAAACTCAGGCTCTGTAGTAGACGACTACGCTGCCACAGACAACGGCACAGACAATAACACCTATATCAACATGGCTATATCAGTCTTACAGGTGAATAATCACTGCACTTCAGTGCATGAAACATATGCTAAATCTGTTTTTCACCTCATAATGTCACCTCATAGACCTCCTGTGGTACCAACAGTGTTATAATATTGTCACCTCATAGACCTCCTGTGGTACCAACAATGTTATAATATTGTCACCTTATGGATCTCCTGTGGTGCCAACAATGTTATAACATTGTCACCTTATGGATCTCCTGTGGTGCCAACAATGTTATAATATTGTCACCTCATAGACCTCCTGTGGTACCAACAATGTTATAATATTGTCACCTTATGGATCTCCTGTGGTACCAACAATGTTATAATATTGTCACCTTATGGATCTCCTGTAAAGCCAACAACGTCATAATATTGTCACCTCAGACCTCCTGTGGCGCTAACAATGTTATAATACTGTCACCTCATAGACCTCCTGTGGTGCCGACAATGTTATACTTTTGTCACCTCATAGACCTCCTGTGCTGCCAACAATGTCATAATATTGTCACCTCATAGACCTCCTGTGCTGCCAACAATGTTATAATATTGTCACCTCATAGACCTCCTGTGCTGCCAACAATGTTATAATATGACAATGATACTGTCACCTAATAGACGTTCTGTGGTGCCACCAATGATATAATATGACAATGATACTGTCACCTCATAGACCTCCTGTGCTGCCAACAATGTTATAATATGACAATGATACTGTCACCTCATAGACCTCCTGTGGTGCCACCAATGTTATAATATGACAATGATACTGTCACCTCATAGACCTCCTGTGCTGCCAACAATGTTATAATATGACAATGATACTGTCACCTCATAGACCTCCTGTGGTGCCAACAATGTTATTATATTGTCACCTCAAGGGTTTCAACAATTGTCATATCATCACATAGAGAGGGGTTTTATTACAAACGTTCTAATTTACCATTCTGGCATGATCCATGTCTGTGCCACAACACATCACTGTAATCAATTTGAAAAATTCAAACATTCCTACAAAGATCTATATGATTTTTGACCAATCCTCTTGTAAAGGAAACTCATTATCACATAAATTAATATACCTTCAAAATGACACAAGGAATTAAATACAATTTATAGTCTATTTTTATGTCATGAGTATCATTCTTAGAACATCCAGGAAGAGACACGATTAGGATTAATAATAGGTTTACAAAGCGCCAATCCTAGTTAATGCTATTGTTACCTCCACACAGACCCTGCATTGGAAGGAAGGAAGGAACTGTGTGGGCTGTCATTCTTTCCTTATGGCAATAATATCCTCCTTTCCTTGAACTATTGATTTATTACTGATCAGTGATTGGTTATGAGTAATAGAACTGATGTTGACTAATTTTATATATTCTCTATATAACTCATGACCCAGTTCCAGATCAACAATTGTATAAAGTGATGACAGCATGGTATTAATGTATAATTTGCAAATTAACCAGAATAATTATTATTGTATACTTAATTTAAAACGTTGATGGCTAACAATAATTAGGAGATAAACATAATGTTTTTCAAACTTAGAGGTATATAACAAAATTATAATAGCTCTAAATCTGATTTAAAACTGAACGTGTAGCTATTATATTTCGTTATATACCTCTGATTTTCCAACACAGTGTGTTTATCTCCACTCTACCATAACCGTGTTATTAAGATTAGATTTTTAAATATTTCATACTGTGTTGGAAAAACAGAGGTATATAACGTGATTATGTACCTCTGAATGAACCAATCACAATCCAGTATTTACTGAAGTCATGGCAGAATGGTGTTTTTGGACACGGGTAATTCACCAAATCAAAATGTTAGTATCGACAAATAATCAGATAAAAGGTCTTGCTTCAAACTGAGTTTAAAAATGTCTTAAAATATATCTTTCATTATCATCTAAATATGACATAAATTTATAATAAACAAAATGGTTATCATTATCATTTCAATCACACCAACTACATACAATGATATGTATAGCGATCTTCTTGAGCATATTTCATTAACAAGCATTATAAAGAGGTAATATTTGCTTTATACCTTCTTACCGCACAACACAATATCAGTGATATGTACATATATACAGGGTTTAACACAAACTGAATACACAAAATGAGCTTTCAAGCTATATATTCACAAACTAATTACATTTGCACACACATGAGAGTCATAACCAGCCTTTGACTGAAGAGAAAGCCCACTGACCACTGTGTTACTCTTGCCCATTATCACCTTCCAAGGTGTGATTTGTGTGTTTGACTTCGGTCACCTTCCAAGGTGTGGTTTGTGTGTTTGACTTCGGTCACCTTCCAAGGTGTGGTTTGTGTGTTTGATTTCAGTCACCTTCCAGTGTGGTTTGAGTGTTTGACTTCGGTCACCTTCCAAGGTGTGGTTTGTGTGTTTGACTTCGGTCACCTTCCAAGGTGTGGTTTGTGTGTTTGACTTCGGTCACCTTCTAAATTGTGGTTTGTGTGTTTGATTTCGGTCACCTTCTAAATTGTGGTTTGTGTGTTTGATTTCGGTTGACTTCCAAGGTGTGGGTTGTGTGTTTGACTTCGGTCACCTTCCAAGGTGTGGTTTGTGTGTTTGACTTCGGTCACCTTCTAAGGTGTGGTTTGTGTGTTTGACTTCGATCACCTTCCAAGGTGTGGTTTGTGTGTTTGATTTTTGTCACCGATGTCAGGTCTGATATTTGAAGCTCCAATCAGTGGATCCTGTCACTGCTATGAGTCACTTCTGTACATGAAGTGCTATATCACTACATGTGAGCTTGTGAGGGAGGAAAGTCTGTCGCAGGTGTTAAAACATTGGTGACACACAACTGGATATGGTACAGAGATGCCTAACCAGGATGAATCTTGTAATAAAACCTGTAATGTTAGCCCTCGGGCACAAACAATGGACAAAACTGAGCACTACTTAGCCTTAGACTTGTACATGGAGAAAAATAACCCATATTGCAATAATATACAAAAGATTTTAAATCTTGAAATACTGCAAGAAGCATGTTTTTAAAAAAAATTCATCAACTTGTGACAAATCATTAAGTTAAATAATATTTATAGCATTTAAATTAGATACGACAAAATATATTTAACCATGTTATTCTATATACAAACACACTTATACACACTTGGTGATAAATATGATTAATAAACATTATATTGCTAAGTAATGAGTATGATGCTTGTATAATGCTAGCAGAACAGAGCATGGACATAATACACAATAAACAACAACAACAACAACACAAAGTGTTGTTCCAATTGCATCAACATTGCAACAAACAAAAACAAACTTTCATTTGACCTTGTAGAATTTTCAGATGGCTCCCCAACATGTCTAGACATCTTCTCCTGTCTTGCTACACTGACCGATCTCAGTGTTAACTGCCGTAACACCAACATGTACATATGGGGTGAGTGAGTGAGTGAGTGAGTGAGTGAGTGAGTGAGTGAGTGAGTGAGTGAGTGAGTGAGTGAGTGAGTGAGTGAGTGAGTGAGTGAGTGAGTGAGTGAGTGAGTGAGTGAGTGAGTGAGTGAGTGAGCGAGCGAGCGAGTTTGGTTTTATACCGCTTTTAGCATTCCATCAATATCACAGCTGGGGACACCAGAAATGGGATTCACACATTGTACCAATGTGAGGAATCAAACCCAGGTTTTCAGCATGACAAGCAGATGCTTTAACCACTAGGCTACCCAACCGCACCACATACATATTGACTCATAGAGACGAACTTTGCTTGTCAGTACAGATACATTATTTTTCACATGTTACAAAATGTGCACTCATATCTAGGATATGAAACCTATGTGCACTTTACAAACAAACCAGTATGTCTTCATTACATGTATACAGACGAAGCGCATGCAGAGCTATCATGATGGAGGGTCTTCTATTGCCAACAGAGGAGGTTTACTGATTGCTATTGCATGGGAGGGATTGTAAGGTGTCTATGTGGAGGCCGACGACAGCATGCTACGAAATCTCGACGGCTTTTGCTGTTGAGGCATGCTGGGTGCATCGCTGATATTTTCATTCATTGCACGTGAAAGACGGACCGACTGCTTCCTCTCCTGTAAAGTGAAAAAGTGAGTATGCAAACAAACATCAATGAGATATGGCCTATGAGTGAGTGAGTGAGTGAGTGAGTGAGTGAGTGAGTGAGTGAGTGAGTTTAGTTTTACGCCACACTCAGCAATATTGCAGCTATAAGGATGCAGTCTGTAAATGATAGAGTCAGGACCAGACAATCTAGTGATCAACAGCATGTGCATTGTTCTTCACAATTGGCATATGACGACATGTGTCATCCTGGATTTTAACGGGTTCATGGTCTATGATGCTTGAAGTGAAACTGATCCACAGAATCAACAACAAATAATTACAAGGCGAGGAAAAAGAAGGAATTATTGCACCAGTGACAGTCACATTCTCTAGCTACTGTAGTGACACTGATTCACAGAAAATCCTCGACTTGATTCAAACATACTGTTTGTTTAACTCATTCACAAGTAAGAGTGAAAGAGTTTCGTTTTACGACACTTTTAGCAACATTCCAGCAACATCACGGCGGGGGACACCAGAAATGGGCTTTACACATTGTACCCATGGGAATCGAACCTGGGTCTTCGGCGTGACGAGCGAACGCTTTAGCCACTAGACTACCCTGGACTTGACAGACAAGGGTTGTTTACTTACCAGAGACTGCCGAGACCTGTGAGACCTGTCATGTTTACCCGATTTCCTCCTGTACGACTGCAAAAGGAGACGTTTCAGAAAATAGTTGAAGACATTCACTATTAATCAACTAGTGACAGAAAGAATTACCCTATAAAAACAGATCACAATCTTCACATCAAACCCCTTCTCTTAATGTCATTGCAAAAAAATCAGTTCAGTAAACTATTATCACAAACTCCCATTTCCCACCATCGAAAGAGATTATTTCACCCCTGAATCAAGAAGATGCACTTACAATTTTCTCAGCATCAGTTGTGCCATCCTCTTCTTCACTAAAGCTTCCACTGTCACGGGGCTCTGGGGGTTCTAATACCGCCGGCAGGGACATCTTTCCTGGAAACCATCTCCTCCATTTACAACATGACAAACATGGAAATGGCTTCCTACCAACACTGTTAGAAATATTCTACAGCTTGTTAAGACTGTATTATACATTAAAATCCAGTTTAACTATTTCACTATTTTTTCTGTCATAGACCTTTATAATTTTTAATGGTTTAACAACAGGTGGTTGGTGGTTGAAAAAAGTTATGTGTAACTTTCCATGTCTAGATTAATATGCGTACTGACGAATAAACACCAAATAAGTTTTAATATGGCAGAATAGAGAAACATTATATGATTTTTGAAGATGATATAAATGTATACGCTCTACTATACTACAATAAAGAAAAGGCGAGTTAGGTTTAATGCTGCCTTGAATAGCATTAACGGCAAATAGGGTTAATGTGGGATAAGTGAATGAGTTAGTTTAGTTTTACGCCGCTTCTAACAATATTCCAGCTTCATTGTACCCATAAGGGGGAATTGAACCTAGCTCAGCGTGAGGAGCGAACGCTTTAACCACTAGGCCCCGAATGTGGGTTTGAAAGATACAAGTGATGCAGGTGTTAGACATTTATCACTGATGGGACCCAGAAGCAGGTGTGTGGTGCTGAGTGAGTGAGTGAGTTTAGATTACACCGCTCTCAGCAATATTCTAACTATTTGGCAGCGGCCTGTAAATAATCAAGTCTGGACCAGAAAATCCAGCGATCAACATCATGAGCATCGATCTACGCAATTGGGATATGATGATGTGTCATTCAAGTCAGCGAGCCTGACCACCCGATCCTGTTAGTCGCCTCTTACTACGAGGATGGGTTACTGAAGGCCGATTCTAGCTTCCTTCATGGGTATTGAGCCATTGAAACTATGTGGATACCAAATCTTGAGGGAATTGTATATTAAAGATGAATACCAATCACACCTGTTATGTTGAGACTTCTATCTATGTATTACAAATTGTTTCAAACCTATTTAAACCATATGACTCAACTTTTAATAGGGATAGACTTCCCTATTACTACAATATGTATATATGTAAATGGTTTCATGTATACTACTCAAGAGAAATTTATGAAAATCATATTCTTTCATATTACAATAATTAATCATTTATGTCATGACACTATACTGGCAAACAAGGATAAGTTGGACCGATGAAGAGAACGCGTTTACGAGAAGTAGGCGGTGCATGGCAATGAGCAAACCCATTTGGTTTGTGAAAGGTAGAGCAGATGTAGGCTAGTGCACGTGCATTGCATGACGATGAAATTGATTCCGCGCATAGCTGCAGACGCCTTGCTCATAAGACTCTCACGTCGGTGTAGCAAGTCGCACTACACTTGATCGCGGACAACATGGGTCCCCTTCGCTAACAATGGCAAGCGCCAGTGGTCGGCACTCGTACATGCTAATACGGATCAAATGTCAGATCAGTGCTGAACTTATCCTTGTTTGCCAGTAGTACTATGAGGGGTGGTTGGGTAGCTTAGCTTGAAGACACCGAAGATATGAGTTTGATTCCCCACATGGGTATATTGTGTGAAGCCCATTTATGGTGTCCATGATAATTCTGTAATAGTGCGAAAACCATGCCAAACTATACTCACTCACTAACTATAGTTAAATATTTAAAAAAATGTGTGTCCTTTCTGAATTCTTACGCATAGTACATATCAGAAGTTCAGCATTGTGTTAAGTGCTGGGTACTGATAAAAAACAATCCTAAGCATAAAACTACCTTGATCCGTGAGACTAACACTACAGGGTTGCTGAAGAAGGGTATGCAAAGTGTTAATGATAAGCATTTTGTTTACGGGATAGATATGAAGTGCAAGATTTCTACAAGTGCTTGATTTGACAGTTTACTGCATTTATGTCGTTCTGATACCATTTCCACCTACTCAGTGCCAGAGACAGATTCCATACTGACTTCTACAGCATTAGATAATTAGAAGCTGTAGGCAGTGTAGGAAAGATAGCCTGTCCCAACGTCCGAGACGGGTGAATTTTGTGGAGGACGGGTTAAAAAAAGTATCTAGTCCGTCTTCATGTCGGGTCAATTTTAGCAAACCAATGACATATATATATAATGATTATAACCTTTTTGAATATTTACTGCCGAAGGTGTTTTATTTATATTTGGAGGACAGGCTAGATTTTGGCAGGACTGGTTAAAAATTTGACCTGCCAGTCCTGTGGACAGGCTAGATTTTCTACATCTTTCCTACACTGCTGTAGGACATCATTCTATCTGTCTTGCTTAATTTGTAAAATTTCATATCACAGAATTTAGACTATTTAAGTAGTTAAAATAATTATATTTAAAGATAGGTTCATTAGTATATGAAAATAAACAAAAAATCACATAAATAAGATGATATAAGGACTAAAATGATCATTCTTAAACATTTGTTCCTAAGTATATGAAAAAAGAGAAGTTTCAAATCACAGAGATGAGATGATTTTAGTACTAAAAGAATCTTTCTTAAAAATTAGTTCATTAGTACATGAAAAATGATATTTTACGATTTCATTTAATTGACATTATTGTTACAATAAATTGAAAGAGGAAAACCATGAACAACAAAGCCCAGATTAACATGATCTTTACAAGATCTATATGCCTTTGATCCACTGAGACACAGAATATGTCAACTGGTTATTTCTTGTGGTGCATTTCTAAGAACAAAGAAGTGCAGAAAGCTAGTATTGCCACACAAGAAAAACAAAATTGACATAGTTACGTGGGACAGTGAAGCTCTTTTGGGCTCCGTGCTGGAGGTTATCAATGCCAATACCTGATAGGCCGGGGTCACTGCCTCGAGCTTGACGCACATAAAAACGCGTTTTCTGAAAATAATACAAATGAGTATCTTTAACTGGAATTTGAGGAGAAATAATTGTTATATTTTTTACAATCTGCATATGATTCATACCTCAACAAAATAAAGTTACACTCCATGACTTTGACAAAAAATATTTTCAATGTCAACATTATTAAACCCAAATGGAATAAGACATTTAATTTTTTAGCAACCAAAAAATATATGGAAGGTACTCTGAAAATGAAGACCATTGTTTCCATGGTTACCTTTTGTTTGTCACTCCTATGAAGGTCATGCTCACTGTAGTGTTTTTTCATGCCGATACGTTTGAGGAACGATGAGATCTTACTTCTGGTTGTTGTCTTTCCTCTCATGGAGAGTTCGCTGGTCTGTAATCAGCAGCAAGAAGACATTGATTCAGTGAACAGCAGGAACAAGTTGGGAAATAACTGCATTAATTCAATGAATAGCAACAAAAGTCACAGAACAGCAGCAACTAGTCATGGAATAACTGCAACAAGTCATGGAATAATAGCAACAAGTTGTGGAATAACAGCAGCAAGTTAAAGAATATCAGTAACAAGTTTTGGATTACAGCAACAAGTTATGGAATTTCAGCAACAAGTGAAAGAATATCTACAGCAATTCATTGAACATCAGAAACAAGTCATGGAATAACAGCAACAAGGCATGGAATAACAATAACAAGTCACTGAATTTCAGCAACAAGTTATGGAATTACAGCAATAAGTCATGGAATAACAGCAGCTTGTCAAAGAATATCAGCAGCAAGTCAGAGTGACACGCAGCAAGAAGTCATGGACTTACAGCAACAAGTCAAAGAATAGCAGCAGCAAGTCATGGAACATCTGCATTATCTGACCTATAAGACTTACCGTGTATGTATCCCCAATGAGAGCACTTGGTTGTTCATGTGCTTCCAACCTGATGTCGGATGCTTCATCATCAGACAGCACATGTTCCGGTGGGACACCTTGTGTTCCTGGTATAGAGGAGGATGCCAGGGTGTCTCCATACAGTTGTGACACCAGCTGGGTGTCTCCAGCAGGAACATCTGCTGTGGACTCTGGTGACTTCTCACTTGTCACATACGATTCTCTTGGACTTGTTTGAGGAGACTCAGAGGGACTAGACTCTACATCGGAGACCTTAGGACTGGACGAACTCCTGGGTTTTGGACCCTTTGGTGGAGGTGGTTTGACGGAGGAGCCAGGACGCGATGACATTGATGAGGACACTGATGAAGACAATGACTGTGATGGGGATGCAGATTGGGAGAGATGAGGTTTGGAAGCTAGCTGTGGTTTAGCAGGTGTTGGAGGGCCTTTCTTAAGAGGAAGTGATGGAGGAGGTTTGAAGCTGCTGAGGAAGTCGGTCAAGGCTTCAGGAGAACTCGAGGCCTCTTCTGCTGATCCCTCGCTGGCTGGACGGGGGCTACGGGGCTTGGAGGCATCTGATGTGCTGTCTTCACCATTGGAAGAAGCAGCTGCAATAAGCATCAGGAGTTTAGTCACTTCTTGGTAGTTCTCCAAAGATACAGATATGAAATTATATTCATTTGGTAATTTCACTTAAAATTAATGTTTGTTAAGCATTTTGTTGAGGACATACAGAAGCTTGTGTTTATTCTAGATCTATCAACTCATATTAAAGTGATGTGTCCATCTTTATATCTCATATATTTCTTCATGTTTTCATCATGTTTGGTCCATTTTTATACCATACGTTTGTTTTGTTTCATAAAAATCTATCAAATTACTGACATTTTTGCAAGATTACCATGTCCAAAACCCATTTCTTATCACAACTTCCTTGATCCAAAGTATCTACAAATGTGTTCTCTCCGATACATTAAGCCAAACATAAAATGAACACTACAGACTTACATTCTAAGTTCATGAATGACAGCCTCTTGCCTCCTTCCGACACGGACCTATGAACTTCCTGTGTGCCTTGAACGCAGAATATATCAAATGTCAGTAGTTCTAAATATACAGCACATCTCATCTGTGAATCAATCCATAAGCTAAGGTCAGATTCACAAAGTACAAAGTACTACTATATGTGAGAGCATAGGAGTGAGTCAAGCAGTCAGTCAATACAGTTTTATGCTGCTGTTTGCAATATCCTTTGAACAATAGGAAAGGACCTCACTCATTGCACCAAATGGCAATTCAAACTAGGGCCTTTGGCATATTGATCCACTAGGCTACCCTACCACCCCTAAAGCATAGCAATTACATCGAAATACAGGGCTATTATTTCAGGATTTAATCATTTGGTAGGTTTCCAGCTTATGTAAAAGTATTGTTTTCACAACCAAATATTTAGGTACTTGTATTGTACGGCAATTATAAGTGAATCATGTTGCATTTGTGCATAGACAATACACACACACTGCTGAAGCACATTAGGTGCATTGGTGATTAGGATCTTGGACCTTTAAGGAACATACTTTGGTACACTGTGGCTCTTTCAAGCATCAATTAAAAATCATTTAGACCAGACAATCCAGTAATCAACAACATGAGCATTGATCTACGCAACTGGGAACCGATGTATGTGTAACCAAGTCAGTGAGCCTGACCTACCGATCCCGTTAGCCGCCTCTTACAACAATCATAGGTTGCTGAAGACCAGTTGTAACCTGGATCTTCACAGTTTTAAAAAACCCTTTTCAAGAAGGTGAGGTGAAATTTGGTTTTACGTCGTGCTTAAGAATATTTCACTCATATGACGACGTGCATGCGTGTGTATGTGTATGTGCGGCTGCTTGTACTAGCCCAGACTAAAGCTGGTTTTATAGTGCTAACCCACTGAGATACCATGCCGCAGTGAAGCATGAATACCCCACTCAGACACATTATACTGACTCCGAGCCCACCAGTCCTTGTTGTACCATTAATGCCGAACGCCAGGCAGGGACCAACAAGTACCATATTTTAACATCTTTTGGTATGACGCAGTCGGGGATCGAACCCGCGACCTTCCGCTCTCCGGTCGGACACTCTAACCACTACACCACGGAGGCGGTTCCTTTTTAAGGAACACTCAGATATGGATATAACAGTAAGTTATCTCATGATGTAAAGCATAGTGCATTCTGTGATGATATGGGATATAAACAGCTCAAAATAGTTGAAATATACAGATAAACATACCTTTAGATTTGGTTCTCTTCTTACATGGAAAGGGCTTATCTCCTGGGAGGACTGAAATATATTTATATAAAATGAATTGAAAATAACAAACATATTCTTTCAAACACAAATAATTTTGACACAGGGACGAATCATTTACTAAAGCAGACAAGCACAGTGAAAGGTGAAAGTTCGGTGTTGCTTAAAGTTATAAATCTTAGCACTGGGCAATATTTAGGGACTGGCAATTTTAGGGGATCAGGGTATCATGGGAATATGTTACAAGTGTTGGGGAGGGGGAGGGGGGGAGTTGAGGATAAATATGACATCGCTCCACGATTCCTCCTCTCCCTTTCCAGCAATTAATGACCAGTCCCAAATACATTTGAAGGACAATTACATTAGTAATGACAGCACCAAACCCTAACTGAAATGATGCAAGCCCTTTCGAAACTATTTCCAAAGCAGTCAAGTCTTCCTTGTACTATATTCCCAGCAGCTATTCACCTTTCTGTACACCAGTCATGTCCATATATGGCGATTCCAAGTCCAACACCCCTTTCACTGTATCGGTACTTTGGTTGACGTAGTGATATGCCTTCATATGAGGGGCAGGGGGAGGTAACTCTGGTTCCATGATCCCACTGTCCACGTCTGCAAAGCATGATGGGTAATAAGGATGGAGTGATGGCGGTGATGAAGATGATGATGATGATAGGAATATGATAATAGTCACAAAGTTCGATTCTTTTGGGATTCAGTATGCCTTCTGACATTTTAGTCCAAAAGTCAGTCCCAGTTTAAGCAAGTGTGGCGTTTTTCACGGGATGTTATGAATCATATTTCTTCTTAAGGACACAATCCAAAATCTGTCTTCCATTTTTCACAAAGCTGTACACGTGAACCACATGAACCATGAACACAAACACACTTCTTCTCCCATTCCAGCGTCCAAACTTTCTGGAAATGGTTCTGGATCACTAACAAGCAGTTTTATACAATGAAATGTTATTAATCATTACACCACAGTAAAAGCGGAGGTGAATATTACCATGGATGATAAACATATATGTATCCAAATCACATGCAATGATAAACATATGTATACACAGAAATGAATCAAGGCTGTGGGTACAGCAGATCACTTGACTTCTGACACAGGCAATGAACAAATAACAGTGAATTAAATCAGAGAAAATATTTGTAAGAATTGACCTTATAATAATACCAATGTTTTTAGTGAGGCAACACTTCTTTGTAATTTTTTGTATGAGATTAGTGAGTCACAAGTCACAGTCACAACAGAAAATATAAACATCAATTTATAACCCACTCTCTTAATTTGCTATGGATACAAAAACAAGTCACTATTTAAACATTTCCAACAGAAGTAACTGTAGACTTATTAAACAATAAATCATCAAATGCATTGTAAATATTCTGTGGCCATTTACACATGGAGTAGACTGATCAAAACGGAATTTAAAAAAATTGAAAGAACAGATGGAAATACACAGCTGCCGTGCACATTGCAGTATAATTGATTGTATGTATAACAATTGATGCTTTCAATCACTGCAATTAGTTACAAATAAAACACTAATTGTATATTTACAATTCTAACCAGCCTGTTTACTGGTAAGCATGGATTTTGACAACTTAGAGTTACTGCCCTTTGGTTTGAGTCACAAGAGGGAAGAAAATGGCCGGCTTTCAGATTGCCATCAATACTTAATACATTTCTATTACATTGATACATATAACTAAGTTGGTTACCTACTATTGCGATGGCAAGGGTAGAATTGCAATAGTTGACAACTATGTCAATAGTATTGCAATAGTTCAGGCTACTACAGCTGCTGTAGAACTGCAATTGCTAAAATAGCCCCCACAGTCATCATATGTAGTTCCCAACAATATTCCAAATGGACCAAAACAATATAATTTGTTTTAAAACAAGTGTTTGCCACTGATATGGCAATGTCCCCCGCCGCTAAAGAATGGAATATCTATATTTACTACTTTTTTTGGGGGGGGGGGCACATACAAGATGCCTGAAATGACTAATCCCCCAATGTAGGCTGTCGACATAATTGAAAATATTGGGTGCAATGTTTTATGAGATATGGCGTTTAAATAAGTTTTAAAAGCGGTCATAGTGCCGTGGTGACCTTGAAGATAAGGCACCCAAAGAAACTGGTGTCTGCATAATCCCCCCATGTAGGCTGTCACCAAATTTGAAGGCATTGGGTGCAACAGTCCTTGAGATGTCACGTTAACAAGAGCTTGAAAAGTGGTCAAATTGTGGTGACCTTGAAAACAAGGTCAAGGTCACCCAAATCAACTGGTGTCTGTGTAATCCCCCAAAGTAGGCTGTCACCAAATTTGAAGACCTATGGGTACAACAGTTCATGAGATATTGCGTTAACAAGAATCAGGACATACGGGGGACTCTGTATTCAGCGGCGTCCCTCAATCCGTACGTATATGGACGGATGCCTCAGTGAATACATAGTCCCCAAAAGAAGAAAATACAGGGCTGCACAAATGGATTTCTATTTTGATCACCCAAATTTACTGGCAACAAAATACAAACAGTAAAATCATGAAGCAGAACAAAATTATAACAAAAATGAAAAAAACTCACCACAAAACAAAGAAAGTGTGGCCAGACAATAATCGACTGTTATTTACAACAATGCTACCTATACAGCGAAGTTGCCAACATGGCGGAAATGACATATCAGTATCTTGGGAGCTTTTGGGGATGAGATGATTCTGAAAATCAATAAATGGGAGGGCTTATTAGTACCTTGTCTTGTATTTCTACATATTTATTTCTATCATTTATATGATTATTCTTTTATATGCATATCTGTTGGAAATTGTAATGTAAGCCTTCAGAAAGATACATGTCTGCTCACGATGCCAGCCAGCCAGCCCCCCACCCATTCGGGCAGTTACCGATAAGACTTTCTAGCAGAGTGATGTAAAGTTAGTAATCACATTTTCATGAATGACTGTTTGGAATACAACAATGAAGAGGACAAACACAGATCCCCGCGCACAGGGGTGGCTGACTCTTGTGTGCTGGCGAGTGGGTGCCAGGCTGTTGGGGGGTGGGTCTGGGTCCTGGGGAGTCTGTGCTTTGCTGGGAGGGCGTGGTCCCAAACAGAACACGCTGCACTTGACCAGATTCTCAATGGCATTGTGTATTATGTATTATAGTGACTTGCTTGACAACAACCTTAGAACCTATGTCGAAACTTCGCCTCCACAGAATAAAAGAAGTTGCATATCTATAATAATTGTCTTTATTCTTCACAGATCACAAGGGAAAATAACTGTCCAGTCAAATAAGTTTTTCAAAGGAAGGTTTCCAAAATCCAGGCTCTGTCATAGTACAAGAAAACATTTAAAGTCTACATGATATTGAAGGCAATTATTTGATGTCAAGAGAACTTTTACTAAATATAGCAAACAAATACAATACCTATTTGGTCGTAATGTACCGGTAACTAACCAGTCAAATATACTAGCAAAGTTTTTGGACAAATTTGTAATGCTGTTCTGTGTAACGGGTGAATGGAATTCATGTAAAATATAATCCTGACTCTGGAGCCATCCTAACTGCAAGTATCTCTGTATGATGTGAGGGTGATCTACATAACCTTATAGCAGCAGGTTTATTGCTAAGAGTGAGTGAGTGAGTGAGTTTTGATTTACGCCGCTTTTAGTAATATTCAAGCAACAACATGACAGGAGACACCAGAAATGGGCTTCACACATTATACCCATGAGGGGAATCGAACCCGGGTCTCCAGCATGACGAGCAAACGCTTTAACCACTAGGCTACCCCATCGCTCCCTATTGCTAAGAAAACTTTTCAGCAAAATGGTTGACACATGCAGACTTGAACTCATAAGACAAGGAAACAGCTGAGTCACTTCAAGTGTAGTACTGGTTACCAGCACAGCTTCATATCATTGCACTTACACTGCTTATTATTCATGACAATTCACCCAGAAAGTTATGTCATGTTTCCACAAAACAAACAAAACTAAGCCATGCACAGACTACTTTGGAATTTGAAACCTTACAAAATTAGGCCACGCTCACCAGGGCTCCAGATAATTTTTCAACATCAGGAGTATGTACTCCTTATTTTTGCAATATAGGAGTACTGGAAAACCTTAAGAGTATTTCGAGTACTGAATGGAATTTATTGCAGTATCAGTAATCTTGTGTTTCGTTTCATATATGCACCACAACATTGCTAGTCTTGTGTAAATGGGGCAATAAACAATAAAATAATACTTTTTCAGATAAATACGTCTGTAAACGATTCTAAGACCGTACACCATTGCTGTGATGGGTATCTGCTACGTTTTCTAAATTATTTCCTACCGTATCGTGCATATTTTTTAGCCATACATACGTCGATACGGCCCTTATCTGGAGCCCTGCTCACTATTGGTACTTTGAAATTCGTCTTGTCATTTATGTTACGTTATATTGGTGAACATTATCACCAATTTCTTACTGTTGTCTAGTTTTTTGTGTTGAGGATTGCATAAGCAGTTAGCAAAGGTATCAATGTTGCCTTACTTATTTACAAGAACAGACTTCAGTATTTTTTGCATTCACTGAGGTTTAAACGAAAAGTTGATTTATAAAATATAACATAAACAGTAATGATGTACAAGTTATTTCACCCTAACAGACTTCATCTGCCATTAATTTTAAAAACAATATTAAAATAATATATTTAAGTCAAACTTGTGCCTACATAAATCACTTAAAATGAAAGAAATAAATATTATATTTGCTACAGTTTCTAAGGATCTGAGAGCTAAACCATAACAGAATCTTGCTTGACAACGGTACAAGAATCTGTATCGAAACATCGCACTCACCAAATACAGAAGTTGTTATCCATAAAAACGTGTTTCATATTGTACGTCTCAACTTCTAAAAATGCCACTCAAACAAGTCATAACAGAATTGTGCGATGTATGTTCGAAAGTGCTGCCGGACAGATAATATTACAGATAACGTTAGTGAATAATTCATCCGTTTTCATATCCATTACCGTCCAAAGTACATTCATGAATAGTCTTTTCCCCAAATGGGGCAATTGCACGCATGCTGTAAATTAAGAAAAATCCATATGATTTACTCTCATCTGGGATGAGGGAAAGTTAAGTATGTCCTTTTGTCTGTCATTATTCAATAAGGAAATAAAATGATATTGACAACTTTCCTGCCCATCAGCAAGCCAGTGTGTGGTCTATGTACCAGGAAGTGTGTTGTAGTTCAGATGAAATGTTTGATTTCTGAATGACATTTTTGACATAGTTCCATTTAGTATCTAACATTTGACAAATGTCCTTGGACTTTCGAAATATTTTAAAAGTTAACAATTGCTGTGATATCATAGTTAATTGAAAATATATATTTTTTGTTCAATTTCATATTGCATTTTTAGCTATTTACTAAGCTAGGAGGATTCCCTGTAGATATTTTTACTATATATTTTGTACATATGTGTATGTGTATAATACTGGTAAAAAACAAATAACTAAAAACAGTGGAAACAAGTGAATGAAAGAGCTTAGTTTTACGGGGATTTTAGCAATATTCCAGCAATATCACAGCAGGGGACACCAGAAATGGGCTTCACACATTGTACCTATGTTGGGAATCGAACACGGGTCTTTGGCGTTACGAGTGAAAGACAAGTTAATAGAGACTAAATTCGTAACATATAATACACTGTAAGATATGCTGAAATTTCTTGTCCATGCACTTATAATATTCTTACTTCAATTTCGAATGCTTGTTACAAACTATACAGTAGGCAAACTGTCACTGTGGACTTCGAACATAACATGACTCACGCCGCCTAAACAAACAGATAAACATCAGTCACCAGTCACCAAGCACATAAGGCAAACATAACATGTCAAAAATATTTTGCTGAGGAGAAAATCTAGATCTGTTATCTAAGCAGCCAGATTAGACATTTTTTTAAAAATTATGTCAGAGGCTTTCTGCCCTCTTCATGCAAAAAATATTTTTTCCACACTACCAATCTCCATATTTTTCAAAATTTCAAAAAGACAAAAACGGCTCTTGGTCCTGGAAATTCAGGACTACTGGTCTCAATGTATTTTATGAATAAATTTACAGATGTCAAATTTCCATAATTGAAAAGCAGACTTTATTCCCTCATGGGAATCAATTATAAACAATCAAGTGGTACCCGGTGAAAACATTTATTTCCTGTTTATTTTTTTCAGAAGATTCCATGACTGAGCGTCATGCTTCCACTTTTTCCAGAAATGAATATTAATTATTTACATCAAAACTTGTTTATTTTTGTAACAAGAATTATTAAGCCAAGAGAAATTGGAGCATTCCGTTAAATGGCAAATTCTGTAGACTTAAATATGATTATTCAAGGCAAAGACATATTCAAGGTTGAGACTTGTGGGCCTGGGGATGGTTGTACAAAACAACCTTAGCGCTAAGACTATTGGAAGTCTATGTTAAATCATGTTAGTTACAGCACCTTAGGGTTAAAGTCACTTCATACAACAGCACCCTAGTATTTATTCAAGCGAGGCATTTATTCATGGATTTACAGTATGTTTCTAAGAGTTCGGTACTGACTGGGTGTAATTTCTGTTTCCTGTCTGAATATTAGATGTGAAGAAATGTATGGACGGCACATGATTCCATGGCATTTGATTGGCTAAAAATATCAGTTGTTTTGCACCTTTGTTCCAATAAACCAAAACACTAGACACGCCCATGAAGAAATTACTGTTTCTTGATTGGTTGGTGTTAGGATGGGCAAGGCATGTGTGCATTGTTGCTGGTTACGTTTTGGTGTCTATACTTTTTCTTAAATAATCAGGTTGTCATCCAATTTTCCAGACACTTAAGGAGGGAGGCAGTTAATGTCTTTCAATGACTGCGTACTTGAGTATTGTCACACACATTATCCATAACAAAAGCCAAATCATTAGACAAGCAGCCCTAAATGAGCATCATCTATGTAAAGCATCCACTCTGGAAGATGGGGGTTACTTACTGTGATCCTCCACAACACGCGTTAGAAGTTGAGCAAGATGTTGGTAGCCCTTCCTCTCTGCTATATCACATGGGTAGTCACCATTACAGTTCTCCATGCAGCACGCCATCACAATGAACGTGGGCGGAAACCGCAGCAATTCTGTGCAAGTATTTACCAAGTTAAACTCGGCAGCAAAGTGAGCAATAGTCGGCCACTCGTGACTGCTCCTCTCATCTGTTGAAATATATAGGTCAAGGTCAAGGTCAGTGGGTCAAGGACAAAAGGTCATAGTAAAGAAAATAAGTTGTTATGGTTCCATCTTTATATTGATCAAAAACAAATGTTTGATCCCATTTCATGATCATTATGATGATTGTTCTACTACACAATATCGCACTGGAACTGTCTACGCTAAAGTATTTGAGTTATGATCATCGTAATGTGAAGGTCACATTGCAGAACTGGATCAATATCTTTTACACTGATTACACTGATCTCTTGATAAATTAGGTGAAGTAGGATCCAATTTGGACAGCACAAATAAAATATACAATGCAACCAGCTTTCACTTTTCAAAAATGATTATGAAATTACATTCAGCTTAATATGAAGAATACCCACCAGTGACATTGGCCTCAAACATCTGAAGCATCTGTATATTTTGAGGGGACCATTTCTTCAGTTGCTGTGACATAGCTGCATCTAATGCCTCGTTTTTATCACTTTTCAACCCCAGTGCCTGACACATCACGCTCATGGGGTCGGTAATGTCACGTAATAAGTTACACAATTGGTCCATCTTAGTCTGTAGTTTCACATGATCTTCAGCTATCACTTGATCACCACTTGAGACTTTCACAGGTACAGTTCCACTGCATCTGTCTGAAATACAAATGAACCGACATATATTTGTTGAAGTCATTCATAATAGAAACGATATAAACACTTTCTACCATAACAAATCTATGACAGTGGTCTGTAAATAATCAAGTTTGGACCACACAATTCAGTGATCAACATGAGCATTAATCTATGCAATTGTCAACCAAGTCAGCGAGCCTGACCACTAGTTGCCTCTCACGACAAGCATGGGTTGCGGAAGACCAATTCTAACCCGTATCTTCACAGCTGTCTTTGTATTGAAGACTAACGACATAATTTCATGAAAACATCCTTAACCCTAACAACCATTGTTTAGCATACTGAAAGGCATGTCGTCAGAGAGCTACAGAGTTATCAGTTGAGGGGTGTGGAAATACTACTATGGAGTGAGTGAGTGAGTGGGTGAGTGAGCATGGTTTTACGCCACTTTTAGCAATATTCCAGCAACATCACGGCGGGGGACACCAGAAATGGGCTTCACACATTGTACCCAAGTGGGGAATCGAACCTGGGTCTTCGGCGTGACGAGCGAATGCTTTAACCACTAGGCTACCCTACCGCAAGACGCGCGAACACTAAAATTGTGTACTTGTCCCTGGACACAAAACAGAAGCTATTCCCCAGCTCGACCCTTACCACAGTATATCTATGTACTGAGCAGCCATTGCTAGTTGACAGGAAGTCACACAATATGCTGCACAACTGGCTACATCAAAGATTGAGTGACCATCCCGATGTGTGATCAAAAGCAAAGGAGGAAGTAAACAATGTCATTGGGCTGCTTGGCCATACACATGATGTTAAAGGTCACATGCAACCAAAAAATCAAACATAATTAAAACACAATTATCACTTATTCATGACATATAATATGCATTGCTGATTATGAAAAAACAAATAAACAAAATTATAAGCGTATAATCGCAAATCAAAAGTGCAATATTTTGTACTTGGGTTTACCTCCCTCGAATCTAAGCAGCCGGGATACCGAACCCAGTCAGAGCGGGTGGGTGTGCACTCAAGTGTAACGGCTGGTTCATTTGCAGATGCCGCTTCCCGGCTCATTGTGTGTGTATAGATAGAGATGTTGGGTTTTGTAAATACAAGCTCATTTTTTGTGTATAACATTTTGCAATCAACAGACATCATAACATGTCATGTGTTCAAGTATCACACCTGCCTGTCTGTGTAATTACATAATGTGACAGAGACCGAACTCGGGCCATAAATCAATGCGTTTTGTTTATGGTGTATAGCCTGATTGGTCAAGTTGCATGTGGTCAGTGATTGCAGTTGTGTATTTAATATTGTCATTAGCAGGCAGGCAGGCAGACACACAGGTGTCAATAAAACAAGACACTGAGTTTTGTCTGTGACAACGACATATCTATATCACAGTTAGAAATTGTGTCAACGCTAAATAATGACATTGCTTTTAAGTATCGAACTGAGAAAGTGACTCGGTAAGAAGAAAGTGTGGTGAAATAGACAAATGAAATTATATAAACAGTTTATTTACTGTCATAACATATAAAAAGCTCGCGCCTGTGAGATATCAACAAAACATTAGGAAAATAGCTCACACCAAAGCCTTCACCGAGTATTCACCAGACAGCCCGCTTCCAAGCTCCGCGAACCTATTTCACTGCGCACATGCTATGAGCGTACCGAAATTTTCGGGGGAAAGTTAGTGAATCGTTTGAACTCCGATTTCGCGCGGGTTTTTTCATCGCGTTATTTTTCAACTTTATAACTTGAATTTGCATTTTTGATGATTTGTTTCGGTACGTCCATACTGAAAGGTATCAGAATCTGCAAAGTTGTGTTTTACGTTGCATGTGACCTTTAACATTTTTACAAAGTCATTTGAGTAAACATTACACATGCTGTATTAAAGTGAGTGAGTGAGTGAGTTTAGTTTTACGCCGCTTTTAGCAATATTCCAGCTATATCACGGCGGGGGACACCAGAATGTTGTATTAAAACTGACTACTAATCTGTTTAATCAATCCTGTTTGGTAATGAGTGAGTGAGTGAGTATGGTGTTTCACCACCTTTAGCAATATTCCAGCAATATCACGGCAGGGGACACCAGAAATGGGCTTCACAAACTGTACCCAAATTGGGGAATCGAACCTGGATCTTCGGCATGACGAGTGAATGCTTTAACCACTAGGCTACCATACCCTGTTGTGATGATCAGCAAAAGGTTGTTGAGGACACATTCTACAATAATTGGCACACTCTCTCCCAGGGTTCCCGGAAGGAATCCATATTGAAAGACTAAAATATACTGACAAAAAAGCTAAAATGCTGAGGGTGTCACTGAACAAAGTAACCTTAGTGCTACGACAGTTGTAGTTACGATCACCTTAGCGGTAAGATCACTTTGTACAACAGCACTCAGGGTGGATAAAGTCAGAATGTTTTTTGGGCTTAGTATTAACGTGTAACAGATATGACACAAAGTTGTGTCAGTATAGTTACCTGGGATATTCACTGCATACACGGCCTTGTCAATGAACTCTGCCGTGACCTTGATCGGTGGTGATGTTTTTAGCTCCACAGTCAGATCGGAATCTGCTGGCCGATCCAGGAGAATCAGAGTCTCGGGTGATGACTAGCAAGAAAGGAAAAACATTATACAGTCACAAGATACATTTCATGTTGGTAATTTTTTCCAGACATATGATGTGCTCGTAAACAATACAGCAAGTATTACTGAAGTTTCACCAGCTGATACATACCTCGTTACAAATGTTGCATTGATACAGATCTCAAGGTTGAAGCAAAATGACACAAAATGACAAATAGAAACTTGACATGTAAGAGTGAGTGACTAAGTTTGGTTTCACACCGCTTTTAGCAATATTCCAGCAATATCACAGCAGGGGACACCAGAAATGGGCTTCACACATTGTACCCATGTGGGGAACGAACCCGGGTCTTCTGAATGACGAGAGGAGGCTTTAACCACAAGGCTTACCCCACAGCCCCTGACATGTAAGAGTGAGTGAGTGAGTTTGGTTTTACGCCGCTTTTAGCAATATTCCAGCAATATCACGGCGGGGGACACCAGAAATGGGCGTAACACATTGTACCCATGTGGGGAATCGAACCTGGGTCTTCTGAATGACGAGAGAAGGCCTTAACCACTAGGCTACCCCACCGCCCCTGACATGTAAGAAGCTGTATTCCATTATCAAAGCATACTCAGGTATTGTCCAGCTGGATAATAACATCCAGTCAGGACCAGACAAACCTGTGATTGATATTATGAGCATGTACCATGACATGCAATCAGCCAAGTCACCGAGTCTGACCAGCCCATGCATTTGGACACCCAACTGGACAATAGGGGTGGGTGTTGCAGAGAATTTTCATATTGCCATATATTGCGACGCAAAAGCATGTATTGCGATATGTATTTCAATATATTGCATGAAGTATTTTTAAACAAAAAAACTACTTATAATCGAGTTAATGCTTGATTTATCATGTTTATAGAGCAAAAACACAACAAAATCATTATACTTGATTAAGCTTTAATAACAACTTTTAATCATGATAAAATAGAAGTGTAAATAATATTTGGCACAAACGAAACAAGGAAATATCCGAAAATTTCCAAGTGTTACAAAGTTTTCCGAATGCAAGTCAAAATACCGGTTTTCAATCAGCGTATCGCAATACGTATCGTTTTCATGTCTGAACCGGTAAATACCGCTAAACCGGTTATATTGCGCAGCCCTACTGGACAAGCATTCTAACCTGGAATCTCCACATGGAAACTTGGCTCTTTGTGTAAAATATGTAGTGCCATAGAATTGGCAATTTTCCTTTAATACACATCCATTACTTGGCAGTGACACAAGAACTGTTGTAACTTGTTGGTGACGATAGCAAAGCTCATACTGCTTTTAGGAAAATATGTGTAAAGTCAAACCTTACTAATCCGGACAATACAGTTTCCATTGAAATTCATCTGGATTAACACTTCCAGGACAACGTTGTTGGTAATGTCATTTTGTCAGATATGCATGCAGTGAATTATCATCAATCCTGAACCAACTGGCCCTGCCAGGAAAGTTGATAACATATTTCTGTATTTTGTTCCGAATGTGTGTATTTTTTAAGTTCACATCTATTTCAGTTGAGATTAATTTTAAAATTGTTTTCTTAAATTGTATTCAACACAATGATAGTAAACTAATGATTTAATCCTATTCCTTTACCCAGTCTTTGAGTATCGGTAAGTAAAATAGCTCTAAAATCATAAAATAACTTAGATTTTTTTACAGATTAACAAAAAGCAGGAAATGTTTAATTCCAATCTGGGAAACGTTCATAACATCTGCCTCAGACTTGCGTCCATATATCAGTGTGCGAAAAGGTTGAGATAAATCCCTGACCTTATAATGTATCCTCAAGTGATCATCTAGGAGATGGAGTCACTGGATAAGCAGTGTTTGGGCTGTCCTCAGGAAGATAGTGTCCCAGTCAGCAGGGTTTTTAATACTTGAAATTCCGATACCTGCACCTCTTACCCATGCATATATAATTAAATAGGCACATACTGATCGTACCAATTTAACAATATAACTACAATGTTAAAATTAAATGATTTATATAAAAACAATGACCCCCCCAGCATATATTGTCAAGCGAATCCCCTCCAAATATAACATTCAAATTATGACCTTAAAAGTAAAAGGTTTAAACAAAACACTGTGGCATCCCTTCAAAAGTCGTAGATCAAGGCCTGCCAATGTCGCTCTACGACACGTCTGAAATGTTTTTCGTATGAGTCATAAGCAGTGATAAGTGTCATAACTTTTTTGTCATATCTAGAATATATGAATGAGTGATCATTGTCATAATCAGAAATATTTCAGCTACATCATAGCAAACTGTAGTAATAAATTCTGCACTAGGTAACACACGTGACTGAAGTTGTAGACAGCATTGCACATGATGGCACGTGATGACACATGATGGCACGCCATGAGCGAGGTCACACTGTCTGACCACAGACTGCGTGTAAAGCATGGAATACAAAGGGCCTTTTCTTATCCTTCAATCTCAAATATAGAGATTCAGGGCTGCTCGTGCCTTTAATTGGAGTATGATTTAATCTAAGCATGATTTCACTAACTGAGCAAACATAGGCTGCTGTTGTTAAAAAACCCCGAAATCTGACACTGAATGTACCAGGAAGATGGTTGAAGAAATCTCATGACAAGCCAAGCCAAGCCAGTGTTTGTTTCCTAATACACAGGCAACAGGCCAATCATGATAAACATGAAATGCAGTATTGTACACGCGGGCTGCATTGCATCCACTATGAGATGAATATGATAGTTATCAAAAATATTGGTTAATGAATATTGTTACAAGTTAGCAGTTAAACAATAACAAATGATCAAGTGAGTGAGTGAGTTTACTTTTATGCCGCTTTTAGCAATATTCAAGCAATATCACGATCGGGGGGACACCAGAAATGGGCTTCACACATTGTACACATTGGGGGATCAAACCCGGGTCTTCAGCCTGACGAGCGAATGCTTTAACCACACGGCTACCCCACCGCCCCCAATAACCATGATAACAAATTATTTCACATGTTTTGACCATAATGATAGTTATCAATTTCTCACGAAAATGAGCAGAGGCTAAATTACTGCCAAACTGATTAAATTTTAGTGTTGGTTGTTATACTGCTTGGTTTGGAAATATTCCATTTTGCACCTGTGATTTTGATGGATAACATTTAAATTCAGGTAAGAAGAAATCCTTCTTTAAAAATTCATGGATATTAGATTTTAGTGATCTTCAATTCACCGAACATGTGAGTGAAACGCAACAGCCCTGTTGTACACAGCAAGTACGCAGTACTATTCCTTAGAGCTAATCCCCACCCACCATAACAAAAAACCACAGTATATCTATGTTTTCCAATGGTATACTAATTATGAAGTGTGGTGGGGTAGCTTAGTGGTTAAAGCGCTCGCACATCACCCGGGTTCGATTCCCCATATAGGTACAATGTGTGAAGCCCATTCCTGGTGTCCCCAGCCGTGATATTGCTGGAATTTTGCTAAAAGCGTCCTAAACCTAAACTCACTCACTCACTCAAATTATGAAAGCTTGACATAACATACACATTTGGAACAAATACATAACTAAAGTTCTCAATTCCACAATATCCACAAATTTTGAATAATATTTTTCTATAACATGTATCAGTAAATATTGTAATCGAAGAAATTGTTATTGTGGACAAAGACTAGGAATGTGGTATTGGCGATCTATAACGCTTTTACATAAGAGACACGTCTCTCCGATCTCTCTGTAATTTGGGTCTTGCCCGTCCATCTTTCTCACTTGTGAACCACATGGGTACAATGTGTGAGGCCCATTTCTAGTGTCCCCCACCATGATATTGCCGGAACATTGCTAAAAGCGGAGTAAAACCCAACTCACTCACTCACTCTACTTGTGAATGAGTTAACAGCATTAAACAAACAGTATGTTTGAATCAAGTCCAGGCTTGTCACCAAGGTACAAGGGATGTCAATTACAAATATGACACAGTTCGACTTCTTCAAATACAAATAATATTAATTTTTATTTAATTTTTATAAACATGGTCATTTATTAAACAGTTTTCAAGGAAATATACAACATGAATGGGGCATGAATAAATGTAAAAAAAACATTCGGTGAACAATTGACAAAATACTGACACTTACCGAATTTAGGGCTTTAGGAATGATCTTGTAGATTTGGTTGATTTGGCGTGGTGATGGGGGGTACTGGTATATACTATCCGTTTCTTCAAATGGGTCTTCATCGTCACTGAACTCATCACGTTCGTACACCTTGATAATCTCCATCAATGCATTTCGGAGAGATGCTCCCGGATCATTCTGATGGATTGTTTCGTGATTACATTGAAATATATATTCGCTCTTAGCTTGCAAAATATTTTTCACTTCCATAACATCAAGTCCAAGAAGAACCATGACTGTGCTTGACTTTTCAAACTGTGCGAAGTCCCACTGATTACTTGCAGCGCCCTCTAGGAGTTGAGGGGAGATAAGCACCACCTGCACCTTGTAGTTTTTGAGAGAAGGTATGTTCACGGTGTTGTAGTGATGTGCGTGGGTAGCGATTGTGTACTCCGGGGATGTGAGTTTACGCTGGATGAACAAGGCCCATTCGTTGCCATCGTCAGCAAACACGATGACGATCTCGCCGAACGCGTCAGGCACCTCAGTCGCCATTCTGGAACGATCTGAAATTTGAAAGAGAAGACATTAATCCAGTGGAGAAGACAAGAGAAGTTGATGACATTCAAGAGCAGGTGAAGACAGATGAAAGGGGGGTTAATGTCACAGGAATTTTTGTACTAATACAGCGACATGACTACATGTATGTGTGCGTGTGTGCATGCACGCGTTCCTGCATTCATGCATATTGTGTGGTGCCCTTGTGTGTAGTGTATGGCGTGTGTACTAATATGTAATGCTCACCCACAGAGGTCCCATGCCACACTTTTAACATGTACAACCCACTCAGACACCGACATGGACACCTTGTGATGCCTTCTGGTGTCACAAGACCGTGGATTGAACCCAAAATATCAAAAAAATTAAAACTGCATGGACTGTCACAAGAAACATTGTCTCCTTTGGAAAGTAAGTGAGTGAGTGAGTTTAGTTTTACACCGTGTTAATATTGCAATATTCCAGCAATATCACGGCGGGGGGCACCAGAAATTGGCATCACACATTATACCCATGTGGTGAATCAATCCAGGGTGTCAGCATGAGCGAACACTTTAACCACTAGGCTAGCCCTCTTGAAAGAGTTCTAATACTCACCAACCATTGACATGTCCCATTATCATTTATCTGCAGACCTACTCACTGTCTACTGTTTAAACATGCACACAAATATTTCAAATATGATTTCATTAATTTAAAAAAAATTACACACAAGGAAAAATATTTTAATATGTTTAAAAGAAAAACATATATTTATCACACATATTTTAAATGATTATTTAATATGAGGAACACAATTGTAAGGTATCCCAAAAATGATGCAAAACCAAAAATATTTACATAGTATACCCAACACACTGGTACACCCAAATAAGCAAGGGAATTAAAATATTTTCAACATGGCTGTGAAAAAGCACAAATATTTGAAAGATGACAAAGGCAAATAAAGTTGTCTAGATAAGAACACTTAACTTCAGTGACAAGCACTACTGGATGAAGATTAGCTCTAATGAAACAAATTACTCACATTATTGAAATACATAAACAACTGATGAGAACAAACATAAACAAATATTAAATACATCTCACCTTTCAAATCTACAACACATTTCCAAAACCCCCTTAAAAGGGCATAAATTTGAAACATCACCCATGATGGTATTGGCTTGGGACACTTCATTATACTCATTAATGTCTCGAACGTTAAAACAATTTACCTTCAAAAGGCGAGAAAAGGAAAATCGGGAGGTGATCACTCTCCCCTAGGGAGATAGGAAGTTTGTCAACACATACAGTGTGAAGGCCACCCACGACTGTCTCAGTGGAGTTGACGTAAGTTGACTACAAACAATCAAACTGTAAATGTTTATAACTCTATCTTCCTCGTACACGAGGCTGCTGTACACACGTGCCGGGACGATATGTGAGAGAGAATTTAACCAACTCCTTACTTCCTGTTTGCTAACTGGATCAACTATTTTGAAGAGTAAAAACAAATACAAGCACAGCTATATTTCACGTCTCTAGAGCTGGTGATAAATGTAGCTGTTATACATTAAGATAAACAGAAAGGTAAATATTTTATAAGCATGGGAAAATATTGTTTTTCAGATTAAGGCTTATCAAAGTTAAAATATTTATGTTATTTGTTAAGTTTGTCAACTCTGAATATTTTTGTTTTCATTCAGCGTTTTTTAAATGACAATCTTTTTTCATTTGTATTTGCTTAGTTATTTCTCAATGACATAATCGGGGGGCATGTCAGAATCAACATGATCCTTTTATCTGTAAACATGTTGAAGGTTATGTCTATGGTTCAATAGGCTATGGAGTATAAAAAGAAGTCATACCAATAATTTGCTAACACTAAACTAACTCAAGTGAAGTGAATGTTTCTCAGACCAAGGTGGGTGAAAACTGGGTATGATATAACATTCAAAATTGTTGCACTAACACAATGATGTGCATGTGCATGTGTGCATATGTGCGTGCGTGCATCTGTACTAGTCTGATCACCGGTTTCACAGTGCTAGCCAACAGAGATACCATGCCACAGTTTAACATGACTAGCCCAGTGAGACAGGGTATACTGACTCCAAGCTGACCAGTGCTTGTTTGATCCTCCAGGCATGGTAACAACAAATACCTCTTTTAACATCTATAGTTATTATACGTCTTGGTATCTTTGACCTTCCACTTTCTTGGCGGACACTCCATCATCTAGATTACAGAGGCAGTCATCTCGTACCTACAACTACCACATCAGCTATGCCTAAGCATAGCCAATCAGCTTGGTATTCAGTTCCCTAAACTTGCAGTTGTTGTCTATAAAATACAAAGTAAATAAATTTGCTTTCATAACTTCCTTTGAGATACACAAACTGAAATTTCACCACATAAATATACAGATAAACACAAGATAAATATTGTACAAACGTGGCGAGAACCTACCCGAGGTACCACCCTGTTCAGTTGTTGTTTGTTTATAGCCACAATTAACAATACTCAAGCCATGTAACAGCAGACTGTAAGAAATCTGGTCTGGATCAGACAATCCAGTGATTGACATCATGAGCATTGAACTATGTGACATGGATACAGTGTCATATCAACCAAATGAGTGAGTCTGACTACCTGATTCTGTTACTAGTGTTTCTTACAACAAACATGAGTAAGTGAGTGAATGAGTTTGGTTTTACGCCGCTTTTAGCAATATTCCAGATATATCACAGCAGGGGACACCAGAAATGGGCTCCACACATTGTACCCATGTGGGGAAGCGAACCCAGATCTTCAGCATGATGAGGGGCGCTTTAACCACTAGGCTACCCCACCACAACATGGGTTGTCGAAGACAAAATCTAACCTAGATCTTCCTAAGTATCATTCTTGATTAACCATTAGTAACTATTTCTATTTTGTATTTCATATCGGTCATTATTTGTCATTTATCTATCAATCATTGCCTGTTAATCATTCAGTATTTCAAATTCTTTCACTGATAAACCTTTTACTTACATCTTAGAGCTCGATTTAGTGCTTTGTTACTTGCACTGGTGCAACCCAATATTACACAGTGCAACCTAGTTATTAATCTAACTTGCACCAGGTGCAACTCAATTTTTGATTGGGTAAACTCTGAATAAAACATCTAAATAATTCAATAGCATATTTCTTACAGTACATATTGCAATAAAAGCAGTGCAACTGGAATTTGCTGGTGCAACTAGGTTTTTATCTTAGGTTGCACCTGGTGCAAGTAGGTTAACATATCTTAAATTGAGCCCTGCATCTTAACTTATATTGCATTTAGATTTTATCAATAATGCTATATTAACAAATTGGTGACATTTCCAATGGTTTAACAGGAATATTATCACTTCATAAATATTCAAATGTGATTACATAATTCACACATAATTATATATTACGCTATTGTTAATGCCATAATAATATTTATTAACTGGTCATATAAAATGGCTTATCACAATATCATCCCATCAAAACTATTAATATTGGTTACATAATTTCAATCATACTTATACCAAAGTAAGTACTTACAATCTGGATTTCGTTTGATACGTTTTCCTCCCATACTCTTTGCAAAGTCCTTCCAAAGTCTGTGCCAGGGCACACGATTAAATGTGATCATATTATCAGAAGTGAAAACAACCATTTCTCACGCCCTTCAACAAAGGTACAACAAAACAAGTATTCCTCTGATAACGCATCGAGGAATTTCCTCCAACTCCATTACGCCACCTACATCAAGAGGTTTTACTTGGTAATCGCCCATTTCCTGATGCGGACATGATCTCAGCGATACAAGTAATCTTTGTGGTCATTACATAGCATGTTCCTTCAGGTCTACACCGTCACACTAAACTCTCTGTGGTATCCTCAACACTCTTATGTCAAAGGAAATTGTCTTAACAGTACATGCGATACATGTTCTGTGCTTTTAAAAAGAAATTATACATGTAACATAGCACGTCTGGGAGTGTTTTGTTTTAAGATTTTCGTAAATATTACGGATGACAACTTCTTCTATATTGTATGTCACAACATTTCTGGTCTATTTATTGTATCGTTACAAAATTTTATTATTACAATATTTCCTGTGCAGAGTGTACACTTGAGTATTAAGTGATCATCCAATACTCAGCAATCACATTGCAGATGCTTTACATAATGGTAAGTTGGTGCCATTTGGCAATCAACACACACAAATCCTATCTGAATTTTTTTAAACGAATTTGAATAAAATTTTGAATAAAGTTATAACTTGGATAACAAGTCAAAATATACAACAAACACATTTTATAACCAGATTATGTAATGACTGGATTACGTATGTACTTCTGACCTTGTGTACTTTAGAACGGATTTCATGACATTGTATTTCCAGTCTTGCATGTTCAAAGTGAGTTTAGTTTTACGCCACACTCAGCAATATTCCAGCTATATGGAGGCAGTCTGTAAATAAGCGAGTCTGAACCAGACAATCCAGTGATCAACATCATGAGCATCAATCTATGCAATAATTGGTTACTGAAGATCAAGAAAACAAGAATGCACTTTATGACTTAAGATATCCTCGTTGGATTCAAAATATTAAATGTTTCACACTTTGTTAAAATATGAATCATTCTTGGCTGAATGCAACTGAGTGTTGTCTGAACGTCTGTTCTGTTTGGATTGAGATAGGTATATTTCAAGCTGCATTTGTATGCAAAAATGAATTAATACTGTATTTCCTCTAACATAATTACATCCAGTAAGCGCAAAAAGCGCTGGGCCTCTAATAAACGCTGGGTCTGAAAGTAGGTTGAAAATTAGAACAAATACAGTATACATATATACAGGGCTCCAGATAATTTTTCAACATCAGGTGTAACGTACTCCATATGTTTTCAATATGGGAGTACTGGAAAAACTTAAGAGTACATTTTGAGTACTGAATGGAATTTAATGGCATATCAGTAATCTTGTGTTTCGTTTCATATATGCACCACAACATTGCTAGTCTTGTGTAAACAGGTCAATAAACAATAAAACAATACTTTTTCAGATAAATACGTCTGTAAATGATTCTAAGACCATACATCATTGCTGTGGTGCGTATCTGCTACGTTTTCTAAACTATTTCCTAACGTATTGTGCTTATTTTCTATCCGTACATATGACGATACGGCCCTTATCTGGAGCCTTGCATATATACATTACAAGCTGCATTTGTATGCAAAAACAGATGAACATCTGTCCATCAGTACGTCCGTACGTATGTATGTATGAATGATAACTGCACTTTTAGTCTTAATGAAAATATCCGATCAGCAAGACCAGCGTTCTATATGGGTCTTTTCACACATGCACAGAGATTTATAAATGTCTATTTCCATGCAGACATTTTAGGAATATAAATTATTAAAATTTGCATGGAGTGAAACCTTTTTCATATTATCAATACTGGTTCCCTTTGTCAAGCTCACGATATATATATATTTCTGAAGAAATTGTAAAACCTTTGATAACATCATTGAAGGACCCTTCCAAGCAAGTCAATGAAAACATAACCTACAGGAGTAAAACATTCTAACTCCGTATCGAGTGACGGTGAACAATGTTCTTACGAGTGATATTTTTTTTCTCCATTTAATGACTTCCTTCTACAGCCAATTATATTGAGATTTACACAGCACATATCTATTGCAAGACGGAAGAACAGCGATATCCAATATATCTTTATTTATTGCACATAGTGTGAAGGCAGACAGTGAACACAAATGTTTGTCCCCAGTGGACTCAGAAGGTGTAATTACACAGAAACTTGGCGGACTGAATAGCATGTCGGCCCTGAATATGTATTTAGAAGAGATTCAATGGTTATTTGGATGACGTGTGATCATCTAGCACATGAGTCCAGGGTGTGATTTCAGGGTTATATACTGCACCTTGGGAGGGATACACATAGATTGAATAACAGGTCAATCAGCTGCACCTTACACTTTAAATATAATATAAGTTATATGCTTCTCTCGAGGGTAATACGGTCTGTTGTACACCTGTTTGCTACCGACTGTATGGCATGTAAACAAAATGGCCTCTGTCTCTCACCTGGATTTTTACAATCAGTGAAACATATTCTGACAGGCTTAAAACTGCTATACAAATGGTTAATTATGTTTAAATTGAGTGTGCAAATGATTATATGTATAAAATAGTTTAGATAAAGCAGTGAAAATAGTAAAAAGTAAAATAAATGTGTACATAGTGAACTCAAATACAGTTAATCAAAACAGTTTTTGAACTCCAGGCACTGCATG